TACAGACGAAGAGTTCAGGGACACTCTGGCTTGCAATTACCGGTCTGCGGAAGAAAATGCGGAGGACATTGAGCGACAGGTGATGGAAGAGGTGGAAGCGGGTTCCATCATAGCTATGAGAACAGAGGAAGCAGAGAAAAAGTACAAGGGCAGGTTAGCGGTGGCAGCCTTGGGTGCGGTGCCTAAGGAGCTTGGTTCAAGCGTGGTACGCATCGTGCATGATGGTTCCTACTCGGTTGACATTAATCATAGGATTAAAGTAAGGGATAGGATGCGCTTCCCTATGGTGGACGACGCTGGGGGTGTGCTTTTGCAGGTGGAGAAGGAGGTCGAGGAGGCTCAAGGGGCTATGCGGTGCTCGCTCCTCTACGACATTTCCAGGGCTCATAAACTTTTACCAGTAGACGAGCAAGACTGGGGCCTGCAAGGTTTTAGACTGCCTGCGGGCAAGCAAGAGGGTACCGTGTTTCTACACACCAGAGGCACGTTTGGCGTGGCTTCAGCTGCCTACCATTGGCAGAGGCTTGCGGCATGTTTGGTGAGGTTGGTGCACAGGTTGGGAGGTTTTGATCTCGGCCTGCTGCACCTATTATTCGCCGACGATGGATGGCTCACAGCATTGGGCCCCTACTTTTGGAGAAGGATGTTGTTTTGGTTGTTTTGCTTGGAACTTTTCGAGGTGCCCATTGCATGGAAGAAAGTTCGTGGGGGTTTGGTAGTGCATTGGATAGGCTATCAGATCGATGTGCAGAAGTTCACTAAAGGCATTTCGGAAAAGAAGGTCAAATGGATTGTGGAATGGCTTGAGAGACATCGAGCTTCAGGCGGAGTGACTGGGCGCGATCTTAAATCAGCATTGGGCCGATTCAGTTTTGTGGCAGGGGCTCTACAGCATGTCAGGCCATTCTTGGGGCCCATATTTGCGTGGGCAGCGGTCCTTGCACCAGGGACCTTTGCCAAGTTTCCAGAGGCAGTGGCAGTTCTCTTGGATTTTATCCAAGGCGAAGTGGTCAAAGAAGCCATGACCAGACCTAGACGTCTGGAAAGCCGTCCGGTAGAAAAGTTCCGGGTGGATGCTAAAGCAGAAGCAGACTTGATTGTGATCGGTGGCTGGGAAATTCCGGCTTCAGGGCGGACTGAGGATGCTCGGTGGTTCTCCATTGTTCTAAACAGACGCAATGCTCCATGGGCCTATCTGAAGGGAGAACCGTTCAGAAACATTGCGAGTCTCGAGTTGGTGGCAGTGCTGACAGCCATCATGTTGTTCGGGAAGGGATGGGAGTGCGACATGAGCAGAACGGTGATGTCCTTATCGGCTAGTACGGACAACTTGGGTAACACCTATGTGCTGAACCATTTCATGTCGTGCAAGTATCCGCTTTCCATTGTGGTCATGGAACTGGCAGTTCAGCTCAAGCGGCTGGGCCTAGAAATGGATTTGAAGTGGATACCTAGAGGTCAGAATTCCGAAGCTGATAGCCTGACCAACAGTGAGTTCATGGGCTTCGACAGCTCAAAGAGGATCATTGTTGAATTTGAAGATTTGAAGTTCGAAGTCATGGACAAGTTGATGGCCAAGGCGGCAGATTTGGACGATGAAATTAAACTGGCGAAATCGTCCAAAGAGGCCAAGGGTGATCGCCCTACGGAGTCCATGCACAAAAGAAAGAGAGGCCAAACTAGGTGGGAAGACCCCTGGTAAGGAATGAAGGGCATTGTCACGCCAGCATCTAAAGTGGGGGAATAAGGTGCTGGCAAAGCCAATGCACCTGCTGGAAATGCTGCAGCAAAACTGGCTGCAGCATCAGAACTGTTCTGTGAATAAACACAGGACAGAAAGAAGCAGCGAAAGAAGACCTTTGCGCATCCCAGTTAAAAGTGCTGATGTGCTTAGCTCGCTGAGGGAAGGAGGGAGTGACGTGTAGTGGGACATGTCCCTCGGATCGTCATGACCGAATGTACTCAGACTTCGGTTCAAAATGGCCCTCCACCATCCCCGGACACCTCCAAGTCTTGGGATAAATTCTTCCAGAGCTCTGGGGGAATAAGGTGCTGGCAAAGCCAATGCACCTGCTGGAAATGCTGCAGCAAAACTGGCTGCAGCATCAGAACTGTTCTGTGAATAAACACAGGACAGAAAGAAGCAGCGAAAGAAGACCTTTGCGCATCCCAGTTAAAAGTGCTGATGTGCTTAGCTCGCTGAGGGAAGGAGGGAGTGACATTTTTTGTTTCACCTGTGATCATATTTGTGATTTCATTGATGAAAAGACTTACTTAGTGGCAATTGCAGCAGGGAATGCATCAATGTGTCTTTTTGCCTCACAGTTTCCCAAGGTCAAACGGAATTCGCAGGATGCAGCCAGATCCAGAGACAAAGTAACTGGTCACTCGTTTTTTCGCAACGCAGAACTATTGCCTTGCCTTGTCGAATGGGTGATGTGGAGTGCATTCTTGCCGTCTTCCGAAGAATTCGATGCCTTCTGGAGTAGCGTGTTTGCTCGGATGTCTTCCAGTGAAACCAAAACAGATTTCAATGAGAAAAAGTTTGCAAAATACATGAAAAACAGCTTGTTTGACCTTTCCGGACCTTTGCTGAGAGTTTCCTGGGAATGCGGCTTAGGAGTGTGCCCACCTGGTGGAAGCACACCCACGCCCAACACCATTGAGAGCAGTCACCGCACATTGACATCACTCCTTGATCCCGGTTTTGCGAAAAGGGATTTAGGGAGTTTGATGGTGGAAGTGTGCCAGACAATTGCTTCCAGAGTCGAGCAGGGAAAATTTGCCGACATGCAGGATACCTTGCAAGAGCTTTGGAAAGAGTTGATTCGTTCTTCACGCAGGAGGACATCAAGTACTGTTGCTGAAGACCCAGCACCAGAGAAGAAGAAGGTCATGGTGGGTTGCGGGGGACTCAAAAGTGTAGAAAGTTGTGTGTCGTGTCCAACATGTTTGTTAAAAAATATGTCCGGTTCAGGTTGGCCGCTTGGACCGCGCCATGATCATTGAGCATTTTCATCGGTGAGGACCTCGCGGCACATATCTCGCAACAAGCTGTTCGAAGAAGCTTCGCACAGGGGAAACTGCAAAGATGTGCTATATCCTCCCCAAGTTTCAAATTCGGTTCGCTGAAGAACGGGGTGCAGACATGGTTTCGTGTGTCCGACTGGCCCTGGCAGATTCCCCGCTAAAAGTTCAAGAGGCATGTCATGCCCGAGCAGAAAGACGTACGACCTCTACAGGCATATCTATTTGAGACAGTCTTTTGTGACCATATGGGTCACAGAGGAAAAGCGATGCATAGATTGCCACCGGGACTTCATCAGCGGCGGTGGCTTCACCGAGCCCTCGCTCTTTGTTGCTGGGCTTTTACAAGACAAAGATTTTCTGTCTCCCATTTGCGCTGGGCCAGTTCACTTTCGCGCCCGCAAAAAACCCAAGAGAAAAGCAAAGCCGAAAAGATCGGAACGCACAAGGGCGATGCTGGCTCCGCCGGAAAGTAGCCAGCCCTGTGCAGGTTATCAACGTGGGCCTTTGAATGAGATGAAGGTGGTTGAGGATATGACGGAATTCCTGCCTGGGTTGCCCGCCAGTTCGAAGGCGTCATGGTTGAAAAGCTTGTTCCCTGTTTCCAGCTCTAAAATTGCCATTTAGCATATGTCCCAAATATTATACCCCCTGACAATGACATCTCCAAATTGTGGGGACCCGTGCCACGGATTTTTTATTCACAGCAATTCTTGCCGCAGGAGCCTGGATACTTGCATTGCTCGTTGGCCGACAAGAACAGTGACAAGCAGTGTATGGCGCCATGTGCTCGTGGTGGTAGGTGTCGTCGTCTCCGTCACCAGGGCAATTTCTGCAAACAGCATTGGCTGGAGTTTCGTGACACAGAGAAGAAAGATGACATATGGGAACATGTCACCGAAGCTTTTGCTGATGCGTCGAGTGAGTGGGATGAGAAGCAATTGAAAATGGCTTGCGAGTTGTCTTTGCAAGACAATGTGGAGATGGAGACCGAGTTCTCACCCGTCGGTTGGGAAGCAGAGGGCTGGAACGGTTGGATGTCCCACATGATGGCAACTGTTTGTTTGTCAGCCTGTGCTTTTCGGCAGGCTTTGCTTTGGAACACAGCAAACTTTGTGCGGAGATTGTGGCCTATTTGCGCAGATTCGGATCTGAGTTCAAGCCGTGGTTTGACACCCATTCGCAATCATATGATGCCGACCTGGCCGCGATGTCTCGAGAATCTACCTACGGTGACGATTTGTGCGTGCAAGCAGCAGCCCATCTAATGATGAGGCCCATACATGTAATCAGTGACATAGCAGACGAAGCCTATAGTGAGACCATTTTTTCACCACCACGGTCCATCGCCGAAGCAACGTGGGGCTTTCCTGTGGTGGTGGCTTGCTATGTGAAAGGCCGTCACTATGAAGCAACTGCTTCGCTCGACGCGTGAGGCGTTCGTGCAGCTGCAGCAAAAAAAGATTGAACCCAGAGCTAGGAGACAGGAAAGACTTGATTCGTTGAAAGGGTTGAATCCAAATTCTGGAGCCTTGCCAGTTGCGCCACATGGAAGCAGATTGAATTACAAAGCAGCCCATATCCATTCTGCAAGCACGTAGGTGGCAGCAGGGGAGCATTAAATTCGATTTTAAGCTTTTTTAGATCTGGAACCAAGCCCTTTCAAAATCCAGGAATCAGTCTCACCCATATACATATACAGATACATATTACATATACATATCATATACGCAGACACATGCACATGCACATAACGTAGATACGCTCGCACACACACATACATATACACATACACACACACATACACATACATATACATATACATATTCATATATGTACACACATATACATATATATATATACATACAAGCACAATAATTAGACATGTATATGTAGAGGAAATTCACGAAAAACCCTTTGACCTTTCAATGTTTCCATTTATATTCCCATTTTCTCTGGATTTCGCACGCCAGATCGCCGCCTTCGTGGTGAATGACACCGTCATGGGAGGGCGGTCTGATAGTGAAGTGCTGACTTCACAGGCAGGATGGGTTAATGGGATGTCCGACAAGGACTTAAGCATTAAGGAAGTAGATTTAACAAAAATTGTGATTCAACCAATTCAACCACCCCAAAAAAGTGACAGGCATGAAACATGGTGATTTAATCATCAAGTGGATTTAACCATCTAAAATCATGGGGATCTATCCAACAGCGCAGGTTTAACCATGAAAATGTGGGAAATGGTAATTTACCAAGAGACTTCCAAGGAGGAAAAACAGAACCTGAGATGGCAAGCATTTGCAAATTACGGGTTTGCATCTGGAGGTGTCGCCCCATTAGCCACCAAAACGATGCCGAAAACAAGAAAATCAAACCGAAATAGTAATGAAATATGTTTTCAATGTTTTCAGGGTTCTAGAGAGTTCATAGATCCGTTGTTGGGGTCATATCACCCTTGTGAATGTTTAGTACGTTCGCTATTGGTGTCTTACCTTCATGACCATGGGTTCATTGCTTCTATCCCCTGGATACTTAGTATACTGGTTCTGCGGCTGCTCTGGTCGCAGGAGAAAACTATCAGGTTGTCGTGGTTTTTGGTGCCCGTTTCTCCGTCAAAATTGCATACATACGGACAAAAGGACATACTGACATACCGTCATGCTTGCACACAAAAATGCATCCATTCATCCTACTGAGTTCAGGAAACATCCTGGCAGCAAGCACCAGACCTGAGCAAGTAGTCGAATTCCAACAACTTGGAACCTCTCTTTTTTTTGGGGGGGGGGGGGGGGGTGATTGAATACTTGCACGGAACCCGCTTGTATTTCATGCATCGGTAATTAAATGACATCCGTTTAGGATCGCATTGAGTCTTCTTTCGATTTTCGTTTTTTCTGCACAATGGTGATTGGCTGCTTTGGCGCCGCGCCAGCATCCGTTGGATTTCATGCGTCTGTAATTAGTGTAATTATGCATCCGTTAGTTACACGCACAGCAATTGCAAGGCATCATGGTTCAGTGAACGAATCCTGCCATTCTTGCCTGTAACCCATCTGAGCTTAAGCCATCCGTAGGAATTGCATTCGTTCGTAGGCTTGCGCACCCGCCGGCAGTTCGCTTTTCCTAGGCTGGACCTGTACAGTTCAGGATGACGGGGGGCTTGAAAATTATGGCGTGTTGAGCACCCATGATTATCGCGTGTTTAGTACATCCCTCCTTTCAGTTCCACGCATCCTTCTGTCGTCTCTGGCTTTGGCTCAAGATGCCCGTAGAAAAGACTGCAGCTTGGTGTGTTTGTCTCGTTTTGTGGCTGGGTTCTGGGGAAACAGATTTATTTTCAACTATGATATCCCATTGTACTCCCGTTTCGGAACCTCATTATTGTGTAATGATGACTAATCAAAAAGGTCAAGCAGGCCTAAAAGCGGACATCGCCTCCTTATGGAATGGGATGCCCACAGTGGTGATGTGAAACAGAGGGCCGAGAGCTGCTACTGCAAAAAATTGACATGAAAGCCGGAAGATGGAGTCTTCCGAGAAAATTTGACCATTAAATCCGCCCGCACCGAAGGTGCTGGGGCGTGATCTTCCGGATGGCACTCGTAAAAGGTTACAGGTTTACCTGGGGGGGGGTCCCATTTTTCGGCCAAAACCTCCTGTTTTTGATAGGTCGTGACGCTCGCCTTCAAAAAACACTGTAAAAAACAGTACGGAAGACACCTGTTCGTGAACGCGCCCGTCCAAAATCGGCAAGCGAAAAGTGAAAAAAACCCGTGTTTTTCAACTTTTGACCTCAATTTTTTGGTTTGCAACATCTTTTTTTGCGGTTCCGCAGGTGGCCGGGCCCGGAGGCGGATTTTTGAGTTTTTGGACCCGTTTTCGGACTGATTTTCGTCGTTTTGTGATAGCAGAAACACTGGTTTTTACAGTGTTTTTCTGTTTTCTGCATGCTTGACGGCTAGCTTCAAAACTTCCAAAAACCTCGTAAATTACGCTGTTTTATGTTACGGTGTGAATGAAAACATCGTAAATACCAGTGTTTTTTGACGTTGGTTAAAAAAACACTGTAAATTACAGTGTTTTTGGCCACCTGACCCTCAAAAACCATGGTATTTGCAGTGGTTTCTGCTTCTCACCGCGCAAAAACACTGTAAATAACAGCAATTTCGCCGTTTTTTCATGTTTTTCGTTATTTTTTGAACTGCGTTGGTCCGCTATACATGGCTATCAAATTCTTCGCGTTTTTTTTTCCGACAATCAGTACTTTCGGATGTTTTTGGTCTCAATGGCCGACATCATTGGCAGTTACGAGCGGTCGCGAAGGTGTGAGAACAACATCGTTCAAACCGTGGCGGCCGCACAGGGGTTCTTGTCGCGGAGCGACGGCAATAGAAGAGAACAATGGCAGTAGAAGAGAACAATGGCAGTAGAAGAGAACAATGGCAATAGAAGAGAACAATGGCAGTAGAAGAGAACAATGGCTGACATCCGAACAATGCCTTTTCCCTTTGTCTGGCTGTGTGAGCCCAACGATGCGGTGCGGGCGGTTGCCGTCGCGAAGCGACGTGAATATTGGGACTTTGAAACTTCATAATGGGCGGCTGTTGTTGTGGTCTAGGCCCAGTCGAAAAAGTCACATACATACAGCCCCCCCGAAAGATAGAAAAATAAAGCATCAGTTCTTCTAGTAGAGTTTTCATGTTTTTTTTTTGGGATTACTTTTCCCATATTTATATTGTAATGCTGAATACACATATTGGTTTGTCCCAAAAAGCCCAAACCTGAAAGTGGGTAGCTGGGGTTTTCCACTAGAATGGCAATTTTGGGACTTAAGACATTTTTGGATAAATCCAAATCTCTATTTATTGGTCAAGTTATTCCCCATTGTCTCCCAGTACATCCCCATTGCGGTTGGTTCCCTCATGATTTTCGCCCAAAAATCCGGCCGACGCTTTAGCTGTTCGAGGCTCGAGCAAGCATTCCCAACCTGTGAGAGAAGTACGGCTTTGTAAAATCAAGTTCTTTCTTGTTGCTAGAGGGGCTGAGCTATGCTGATGGCTTCAACTTGCTTGGTCCTTGTGCTGCTGGTGCTGTCAGATGTGGTGGCGGCTGAGAGGCTCAATGACCATTTCGAAAGCCAGCAGGAGGCAGTGGCTGAAGTGTCTATTGCGAACGTAGTGAGAGTACAGGTGTCTGGGGTAGCGGCGTCCGAAATGCACACAGAACTCGAAATTAGGTGGTGTTCTAGAGGGTGTTTAACCGGGTGATACCGTGTCGCAGTTTGATGATGCTGGGCGTTCGATTCCTCCCCTGGTCCGTCCTGTTGCCCTCTTGTTTTTGCCGTTTTTCAGGACCCCTTCCTGCTGCTGTTTACCACACCAGCCTATGCCCTTCTGCACCTTTCGACACACCACTGCCTTTAAACCCAAATCGTTTTCAACAACAAGATCATTCCTGCATTGTCACCAATTACCAAGCTTACCCACGTAATTAACTTTCCTCATGGCTTTCCAACCTAGATTGTCCCCTGCTTTGTTCAAATGACAACCAATCAAAGTTGATGCCTTGTTGTTGACTCCTGACATTTAGCGTGTGATACACAACCACTCGCTTTGCTCGGAGTAAGGGAGGCCGCGACACAACCATGTTGGCCTTTTCGTGGTTGTATCCTTTGTGCTTACCACCAATCAAAGTTGATGCCTTGTTGTTGACTCCTGACATTTAGCGTGTGATACGCAACCGCTCAGTTTGCTCGGAGTAATTAAAGCCGAGACACAACCATGTTGGCCTTCTCCTGGTGTTATTCTTTTTGCATAGCGCCGTTGCGGGGAAAGGTAGAGGCATGTTTTCACATACGGCTTTTTGAGTGTCAGCAGAATCTGTCTCCTGTAAAGTCAAAGCCGCATGCCTTTCCACAGATTCACTTTGTGAAACCAGACACGATATCCTCTTCACTAGGAGTGTGTTACGCAACCGTTCAGTTTGCTCGTAGGAAGTAAAGCCGCAATATAACCATGTTGGCCTTTTCATGGTTTTATCCTTTGTGTTTACCACCAATCAAAGTTGATGCCTTTTTGTTGACTCCTGACATTTAGCGTGTGGTATGCAACCTCTCAGTTTGCTCGTAGCCGAAGGAAGTTTAGAAGTCAAACGTCCAACAATATGGACAGATGAAAAAGCAGAGGTGGGAAGAGTCAGAGAAGAGAAAGAAGAAGAAAGAAGATAAGAGAAGCAGAATTTCGTATGACCTGGCCTCACTTTTTCGTGGCAGGCGCGGTACTTTAGACAGATGGACTGGAAAAATCGCAAAACGCATTGGTATGAGGCCGTCAGCTCTGCAGTCAACTTTCAGGTCTCGCAGAATTGCTTCGTTTTTGACGTTGAAGTTTCGCAGAATCGCTGCGATTTTGATGTTGTCAAGTTCAAAAAATTGAGGAAGTCTCGCAGAATTGCTTCGTTTTCAAGCTTGCAGATAGACAGATATAGATAGACAACAACAACTACAACTACAGCTACGACTAGAACTACAAGTACAACACTATTACAACTACAGCTACGAACACATTTGTGCAAATATACAACGCTACATTACACTACACTACGCTACACTACACTACACTAATTACATCACACTACACTACACTAATTACAGTACACTAATTACAGCACACAACACTAATTGCACAACAACAACAACAACTACTACTACTACTCCTCCTCCTGCTGCTGCTGCTGCTGCTGCCGCTGCCGCTGCTGCTACTGCTACTGCTACTACTACTGCTACTGCCACTGCCACTGCTACTGCTACTGCTACTGCTACTGCCACTGCCACTGCTACTGCTGCTACTACTAGTACTACTACTAGTACTACTACTAGTACTACTACTAGTACTACTACTAGTACTACTACTAGTAGTAGTAGTACTACTACTACTACTACAACTGCAACAGCTACTAGTACAGCTACTAC